TAGTTAGGGTAATGAAATGTTTGGAAGAAAACAAGCAAGCTCAGAGAGCACCAAAAAATCCTAACCAACCTGGTTATTCAAAATCAGGTTTAAAGTGTTGTTTTGTTTATTTATCCCCTTTCCTTGTTTATTGTAAGCCGCCCGGAGTCCTTCGGGAGTGGCGGCATACAAGACCAATAAACATCAACATCAAACATCATTATACTTCAGGTATAATCTGCCATTCTAGCCTCTTTTGAATTCTAGCCTCTTTTAACCTGATTTTGAATAAACAGGTTGGTTAGGAGTTTTTGGTGCTCTCTGAGCTTGCTTGTTTTCTTCCAAACATTTCATTACCCTAACTAGGTAACCTCATCAGTGCTAGCTGATCAGTGCTAACTGATGGTGTTATCTAGTTAAGGTAATGAAACATCTGCAATAAAACAAGCAAGCTCAGAGAGCACTAAGGATCCATCATTCCAAATACCATCCTGATCTACAAATATTCTCCTTTATTGATATAGTTTGATCTTTAAACTGTCGCGTTTCACTTCTTTGCAAAAATGAAAAGCAGTAATGATTGCATTCCAGGAATTATCAGTAGATTTATCTTGGCTTGTCTTATTCAAGTTCTTCTCTTCTGCAGAAATCTAAAAGCATACTTTCTTTGTTCCTTAAAAATGTGCAATTGAGATTTCTACCCCCCCTCCCCACACACACATATAGTCTTTCCTTTTAATCATCTAAATAGGAGTTTCAAATAGGGAAATGATTTATAGCTGAGAAAGCAGCTAGAATGGAAGCCAAACCTGCAGTGTCTTTTAAGTCCATAAATTTGCACAATTTAGCTTTTCTCCAGTCATCCAAATGCTCAAAACTGACTATGCCAATTGGAAGTAAATAGTTTACTCATGCATTTTTCCACTATAGCTCCTATATACTGCAAGTCTTATAATTCAGGCATATTTAAGTTAGAACTGACCTTCAGATAAATGTCACTTGCAAAAAATCTTTTGAATTTTATATAGTGACATATTTTATTAAAGGGCCAAGCAACAAGTATGATTTGTAAATAGAGATTGGCAAACATAGCATATCTTTTGCAAGCAAAATACATTTCTGGCTGCAATAAGGATTCCCGTTCCATTATCTGAATATTTTTGCAATATGCTAAAATCAAAGAGGAATATCACAGAATAGCATTCTGCTTAATTTGTCCCTTGACATATACTCTAAATTAAAATGCTGGGTATCGTGTCTCAAATGTTGTAGAATTTGAAGACAAGACACAGAATTGTGACCTGTGCAGTTTCCAAAGTTCTTCTAATGCATGATGGAACATGTTTATAGCTAGAGGGATGCGTTTCCTGCTGGTAGGGTAGTGCAGAACTGGATTAATTTTGAAATTGGACAGGGACTTCAGATACAAGGGCTTCCTCCAATTTTCAAAAGAAACCTAAAATAATTCTGAATTTGGATTTTTCTTCATGCAATCGTCTGAAAATAATTGTTCTAATGAATGGAGTACAGGGACGTTTGTGCAGTGTATCTAAATTTTGCTCTAAGTAGCAATCTGATAATTGTCTGAACAATGCCACATTTTCAGGATTAGCAACTGCCTGTTTGGCATTTGCTAATGAGATAATACTCAATGGATTTTATAGATGTTCTAATTTTCATATTTAAACAACACTTGATCTGATTATTTTAAGTAGAAGTACACATTTCAGACAAAATTATTTTGTACACAAAGCCTTTGGTCAATTTTCAATAAAACCAGTATTCAAATTCTTATACTCTTAATACAGCGGTTCTCAACCTGTGGGTCACGACCCCTTTGGGGGTCGAATGACCTTTTTACAGGGGTTGCCTGAGACCATCAGAACTCTTAAATCTTTGGACTCTAAAGCATGCTATGCCGCACTCTCTCCCCCGCGCACACACACGCGCAAGCACACACCCACAAATACACACGCAAGCGCACAAGCAGGGTAGGAGGAGAAATGCAAATGTAAAAAAAATAGGGAGTCTATATGTGCATGTGGGGAGGGGGAGTAGAAATCTCAATTGCACTTCTGGCTCTTTTAAAAAGTTTGTGTAAATTGGAATGAGGTCAGATTTGGAGCTTCTCATTACACAAGGTTATTGGGTTCCAAGCCAATCAGAACTGAGGGGCGGGGTTTTGGCACCAGTCACTGCTTTTCCTATTGGGAAGACACCTGGTTATTAATGCTACTCGGTTGCACGAGCGGGGCTTTTTACCCCCAGTTAACTCCCTGGCAGCCACTGAACAATCATAGAAAAAACTCTTGATCCCTCTAATTACGAGTTCTTTGGACGAAGATATTTTTTTAATTATTATTACCAGTTTTGCTTGGCGATGTGGGCATTTTCATTTTTTAGTGCGTTATAATTACATATTGTTTTTGTGATTGATCACTATAGTTTAATTATGTTAAATTTATAACAATAAAAATACATCCTGCTATTTACATTACTATTCATAACAGTAGCAAAGTTACATTATAGAGTAACAATGAAAATAATTGTATGGTTGGGGGTCACCACAACATGAAGAACTGTATTAACACTATCCTCCGCGAGCTGCGCTGGCTACCTGTGGATCTCCGGGTGCGCTTCAAGGNTGTGTGTGTGTGTATATATATGTATATATATATACATACACACACACATATATATATATTTGTAAAATCTTCTACCACTCTGTTTTCATATTTTAACTTTTTCCTTTGCCCTTTTTTGTTGTTTTGGGTTTTATCTTCTTTTAAAATTTAATAAAGTTATTAAGGTTATTAAAAACAAAATAGTTCATTGAATTATATTTTGATATAATTAAAGAATTATATACATAAAAAGTTTATCTTCTGAATTATTCGTGACTTGTGCTAATGTAAATTAAATGTAGCTGTTTTAATAAACCAGCTTATTTTATATTATTTCAGATATAATAATTATTAAATATATTAAATTTAAAATGGCAAAACATCTTGAGATATCAGTATACTTTTATTTGTATGACTGTGCTTTAAATTATATCACAGTGGGAAGTGTAAAGGAATATATTTACATATAATAGCAGATGTGCAGATTGATAGTTGTTGCATTATTAGCCTTATTTTCTTTCATTATTAAAGGTGGTATATATGCAATTCCAAATAATTTCTAATCTAGTTTCAAACCAAACTTGGTTATATCTCTGCAAGACATTGCTATCAATTAATAATATCTCTAACTTGAGGCAGTCAATATGCTTCACCTGAAGTTTGCCTGAGCCAACTATGCATATAGTGATGTAGATCAGTTCCATAGTTCTTCCCTTATTCCATGTTTCATAGCAGTTAAAGAAACTTGGATAGCAAACTGGAAGGGTATTGGTCATCAGTGTAGATCAGGAGTAGGCAACTATGGCACCTTTATGACTAGTTGCCCATCCTGGTGGCAAGTCAGTGATGTAATATGTTCGAAAGAAATAGTCCAGATCCATTACATTATAGATGTAAGTTACATTTCACTTATTTAGAAAATAAATACAGTTCTATAATGCATCACATAATTAATGATTATATCCCTCATTTTCTTTCAGTTTGTGGGGATATCCATGGACAATTCTTTGACTTGATGAAGCTGTTTGAAGTGGGAGGTTCTCCTGCCAACACACGATACCTTTTTCTAGGGGACTATGTTGACAGAGGATACTTCAGTATTGAAGTAAGCATTGTTTTCTTCTTTAGTTATGAAATGAATTTGCAGTGCATGTTGGTTTCTCTTTTTCTTTCAGCATATTGTAATTCTAAAAGTATATTTTCATGCTGCCACTTTGGCAAACACGGTGTACTGTGGAAAGCATCCCGTTGAATTACTGCAAGCATATTTGGTCTTTTCCTTCTAGCTTAAGTATTACACTTTGTTAAAAAAAATAGTTAATATTTCATATTTATTAAATTCAGTCAAGTTGAATTTATTTTGTTAAGTCCTGAAATCATTACAGATAGTCCTTGAGATAGATAGTCCACTATAGTCCTTCAGATAGTCCACTAAAAGTCTTGTTTAGTGACTGAAGTTACAATGGTGTTGAACAAATGGTACTTACAATTTGTCTTGGACGTTTCTGGCTGTACCATAACCACTTCTTTTACACCTTCACAGTCTAGACACTTGGCTTGCACTGAGAATTGTAGCATCCCACAATCGTGTGATCACAATTTAATACATTTACCTGCTAGCTTCACACAAGTAAAATCAACCAGGAAGCTGGCAAGGAAGGTTGCAAGTAGCTCTAGTAAATTACTCACATTCTCCCTCACCTGGCAGCAGTTACTCCCATCCAAGTGCCTTACACACCACCTGTGTACTCTCCCCACCTGGCAGCAGCCACATATCTGCCTGCTGGCTTGCTTGCAAGCTGTCTGGACTTACTTAATGACCCTTCATCCTCGTTTAACAGTGGCAACAGAGACTGTCAGGCTTGCCAATGTTAAGCGTGCAATCATTTGACATTACATGTGACATTACATAATCTCAAACTTTATGGCCACATCACTTAGCAATGGAAATTCTGGTCCCAATTATTTTGCTTACATGTACTGAGAACTAATATGTAATGTTAGCCTATTCGATTGAAAAAATATTCATTAAAACCAAATGATACTGCATATTCAAAAAGGTCAAAATTTTATAGGTAGACCTCAACTCACGACTCGTCATTATGTGACCACATAGGAGTTTATAAACATTATAGTGGCAGTTGTTATGTGAATGGAGTGGTCCTTAAGTGAGCCCATTTTATCCATTGGGTGATTTTTGCTTTAAACTGGAAATAAACATTGGTTTGCAGCAAAAGAAATGTCACAATTTGCGGTCAGGTGTTCATGGACATTGCAAATGTGGAATGGTTGCTCACGGCCATAAATGCCATCAGATAATTAGGAGAGTAAGGGACTCAGTGGCTCAGTGCTTAAGACGCTGAGCTTGTTGATCAGAAAGGTTGGCAGTTCGGCAGTTCGAATTCCTAGTGCTGCATAACAGAGTGAGCTCACATTACTTGTCCTGGCTTCTGCCAACCTAGCAGTTCGAAAGCATGTAAAAATGCAGGTAGAAAAATAGGGACTACCTTTGGTGGGAAGGTAACATCACTCCTTCGGCCCTCGGCATTTACTCATCCTGGCCACATGACCACAGAAACGTCTTCGAACAGCACTGGTTGTTCAGCTTTGAAATGGAGATGAGTTCTGCCCCCTTGAGTGAGGAACGACTAGCACATATGTGCAAGGGGAACCTTTACCTTAACTAGGGTAGGGGAGCAGTTGTTGGAACTTCAAAAGCAAGTCATGAGTAGCTCTGGGGAGGTTCACCGAAACTTCTGA